GATGAAGACGGAAGATTACAAAACAAAAAAACAAGAAGGAAAAAAAAGAAAACGCCGACTCGTGAAAGTCGGAAATGCAAGTAAAGAACGAAAAAAATCGGAAATGCAAATTAAGAAGGGAAAAAAAAATCGGAAATGCGCATAAAGAAGGGGGGAAAAAAAATACAAAAGAAGAAAGCAATAAAAGACATATCGAAGAAAAGAAAGAAAAAGAGAGAACCGCGGAGGGAAAGATCAGAAAAGAAAGAAAAGAAACCAAAAAACTCGGCAGAAAACGAAAGCAGCATATAGAAAAGACAAGTCAGAAAACGACCGCAGCAATCAAGAGGTTGAAGCAGCCGAGAGCGCGAACAGCGACAACACAATTCTCTCTCTCTCTGTGTGTGTGTGTGTGTGTGTGTGTGTGTGTGTGTGTGTGTCTGTGTTTGTGTGGCCCCGCGGAACGAGCTTAAGATTGAGCGAACCAAGAAAAAAAAAGAGAGAAATTCTGAATTGCCTTGTGCCGGTCAGTTGGGACGATGATATCTCCAGGCCTTCGCCCTTGTAAGGAAAAAAAAAGAAGAGGGGGAAAAAAAGAAACGAAAAGAAAAGAAAAGAAAAGAAAAGACAAGGAAATCGCCCTTGGACGATGATATCTCCAGGCCTTCGCCCTCGGAAGGGGAAAAGAAAAAAAGAGAAAAAAAAAAGAAACGAAAAGAAAAAACAAGGAAATCACCCTTGGAAGGGAAAGAAAAAAAGGGAAAAAAGAAAGAAACGATAAGAAAAGACACGGAAATCGCCCTTGGAAGGAAAAAAAAAAGAGGAAAAAAGAAAAAGAAACGAAAAGAAAAGACAAGGAAAGAATGAAAGAGAACGAAGGGCAAGAAAAGGGAGAGAGAGAACCGACTGGACTACAGTATAGCTCAGTTGGTACACACCCCACCTAAACTGTTGAAATACAGACCCAAGTTTTTTTTTTTAATGAAGGGCAATGGCGTCGACGTATCATTATCGAACTGATCGGCCCAAGGTAAATCAACTCCACTGGAAGCAGCAGGCGAGTCAAATATACTACATACAATTCTGAAGTACCTACCTCGGGCCGATCAGTTCGATAATAATACCTCGACGCCATCGTCCTTTACTAAAAAACAAAAAGAGCAAGAAAAGGTAGAGAGAGAGAGAGAGAGAGAGAGAGCAAACAGTGATTGAACCAAGAAAAGACCGACAACGTTCAGTGAGTGAACGAAGACAACGAGAGAACAAACAGAAATTGACCAAATCAAGAAGAAGAAAAAAAAATAGAGAACAGGGCGAGCGAGCAAACAAACAATCTTTCACCGAGATCTAATCTCGGTGCCTATAGGCGGTTAGGGTAGACGGCAGCTCCTCTCAGATGTCTGTGTGCAGTTCTTTCCTCCCTCCACCCACTTCCTTCCTCCCTCCACCTGCTTCCCTCCTCCCTCTCAGATCTGTTCTGTTCTGATCAGCTTAATATCTGATGAATCGATAATAGGCCCGCATTAAAAAAAAAGAAACAAAAAAAAAAAAGAGAGAGAGACACAGCTTGAAAGACACAATGCCAACCCTACACCCAGCCACGCACGCACAAGACGGTGGCTGTCTCTAAACTCTCTAGAAGATTGTCATTGTGAAGGGGATCTTAAAATGTACGTTTACGGAACTTGCGTTTTCAGGAAGAGGGGGAGGAAGTGGGCGGGGGGGAGGAAGGGGAAAGGGGGGGAAGGGGGGAGGGGGAGGAAGGAGGTTTTACGATTGAAACCCAAGATCCGCTTCAGCAAAAACGGTCCACTCGGGTAACCAAGAAACATACATTCATTCATTTCAGAAAAAAAAGACATTCATTTCGGCAAAAATGGCTCTTCGTTTATTCTTTTGTTTTTTTTCCTGGATTGTTACTTTCCTTCCTCCAGAAAACGACAACACTTAAGAACGTACGCAAAGAAAAAAATGTCAAAAAAAATGTCAAAAACAAAAACAAAAAAAAAAACACTTGCAAAAAAAACATAGCATTCAAAGTTTTGAAACCTGATAAGAAAGACACCATGGATACGAGCGATACCCACTCAGAGGGGGGGGGSGGGGAGAGGGGGGGGGGATATAAAAGGGAAATCCACCCAAGGGGCACGTATCGAGGGCCACAACCTGAAGAAGTTCATTGCCCATGAAAGCAAGAAGAGTACGAATTAAAAAAAAAAAAAAAAAGGCCCTTGATAGTGACAAAAAATCACCAATAAATTAAAAAAAAGAGAAAAAAACGAAGATAAACATGCACACAAGACACACAGATTATAACAGAACCAATTGTTATTACAGGGAAGAAATTTCTAGAACCAAAAGATAAAAGAATTAAAAAGATGATAAACATGCACAAGACAATTTCTCCTTCGCCACCTTCGGAAGGAGTTTATTAGGGAACAGTGTTCGTCGCGTCTCTTCTCCGCTTTACACTCGTCCTACTTACAACTCTCTCTCTCTCTCTTGCTCTCTACAGCTTTACTTACAGATCCCACCTGCTTTATGCCCCTCTCTCTCTCATTGCAATCACAATCTTTCATAGCCGTGGCAAGGCGAACGACACGTAGCACATCGCCCGGCTTGCAAGCATGCGGGAAGCAACCAATTAACGACGCTCCGTCTGAGTCCACATGGCTGGCACATTCTCTGTCTAACGGCGGCTGGCACATTGTCTGTCGAACGGCGGCTGGCACATTGTCTGTCTAACGGAGCTGATTGATTGACAAGTGTCTGCATCTCGGCCTTCTCAGAGGGTACAAAGCAACCACCACCCACGGATCGAAAACATTCAGGCAGAGTACCAATTAACGACGATCCCTCTCAGTCCACCTGGCACATTGTCCGGTTATGGCGCTGATTGATTGACCAACCACTCTAAACAGACGTCTTTTGAGTGATAACAAATCGGCAACCACCCACGTGCCATCTACGCCTTCTCAATGATTGCAAAGCGACAACCACGCAGATCCACGTGGCACATTGCCTGACCAACCACGTGCAAGCGAACCCGACAAAAACCATTCACCGCAGAAACCAGTTCCGCTTGATTGGCCATACGCTCCGCCAGCTAAGCGCACGTGCACGCTTTTCCTACTCTTCCCCCCTCCCTTCCCCCCCCATGTCTCACCACTTCCATGTCTCCAGAGAGCAAGAGCCCTCTATCCATCTCTCTCTCTCTCTCTCTCTCTCTCTCTCTCTCTCACTTTCTCTTCTCATGCTTCCCGATCTTCCCCGTTCCGCCTCGACAGCGAGAGGGTAATGGTATGGATTCAAAGACCCTGCCGCCAATGCGATAGAAGCCTTGGCCTCTCTTCCCGCGCAACCATCTCATGACCCCTGCTGTCCTACCTCTCCTCGTGCTCCATTCAGTTCGCCGGCGCCTCTCTCTCTCTCTCTCTCTCTCTCTCTCTCTCTCTCTCTCTCTCTCTCTCTCTCTCTCTCTCTCGTGTCTGTGTGTCGCTCGCTCGTTCGTTCGCTCTCGCTCTCTCTCTCGCTCTCTCTCTGCTCTGTCTGTGTGTGTGTAGGTGAGAGACGCAGACACGCTAACCTGTGTCCTGTACCAGACACACACTCCCCGCCGTTCGCGATAACCAAGCAAACATGAAACACAAGCCTTCTTTACATCCCAATCATCCGCTCCGCGCCTACAATCAACCCAACTCGACATATCACGCGGTCGGCGAGCGAAAACACCTCTTTCCTCCCTCCCCCTCTCTCTATTTCCTCCCTCGAACCCCCTCGTCTCCTCTCCTCGATGCGCTTTGCTTCGTCTTCCCCACCCTCGCTCCTACTCTCTCCTCCTCAACTTCCCTCTCCATGTCTCTCCGCCACTTCTCCCTCGCCCTCCGAACCTCTTCTCCTCCACCCTCCTGTCCATGTCCCCTCGTCCCTCTCTCCCTCTGACCCTCCTCTCCCTCTCCGCCTCCCGTTCCTCTCTCTACCCTCTTCTCCCTGCACCTACTCCCATTCTCCTTCATCCTCCTCGTCTCTTCTCCTTCCCCTTCGTCCATCTCCTCTCCTTCTGCCTCCCCCAAACACCTCTCCCTCTCCTTCTCCCTCGCCATCTCTTCCTCCCTCTCCTTATCCCTCGCCATCTCTTCCTCTCTCTCCTTCTCCCTCTCTTCTCCCTCAACGCCTCTCCCTCCCCCTCTCCGCCTCTCGCCCTCTCCCTCGGCCTCTCTCCCTCTCCTTCTCCCTCCATCTCCCTATACCTATCCGGCTGTCTCTACCTCTCCCTCTTCGCCTCTCTCCCTCCCCATCCGCCTCTCTCCCTCTCCCTCTCCGCCTCTGTCCCCCTCCCCCTATAGCTCTCTAGATCTCGCTCCTTTCCAGTGCGCGTGTACGGGGGTGCCCCTCCACTCCCTTCCTGCGCATCCTGTGATACTCTTTGTTCAATCTTGCCCCCCATTCCCTCCCTCTCCCACATCCACTCTTACCCCGGAAAACAAGCACCTCTCTCTCTCTCTCTCTCTCTCTCTCTCTCTCTCTCTCTCTCTCTCTCTCTCTCTCTCTCTCTCTCTCTCTCTCTCACACACACACTGCGACACGGCAGACTCTCTAATGCAACATGGCAGTCGACCGACTACGCCTTATTTGAGAAGACGGAACGGAACGGAACGTAATGTAACGGAACGGAGCGCACTCCAGGATTCCGAGATTGGCGCGAACAGCGAACAAATCAGAGAGGCTCGCCTCTGCTACGATACATAGCCGAAAACATCATCATCATCATCATTTCGCTATGCTATACAATCAACGGACGAAATGAACGACCGAACGAATGAACGACCGAACGAATGAACGAACGCACGCACAGATACAAGCGGAAAGCAAGCTACAAAACTTTTCAGATCAGGAACAGCTTTTGACAAGAACCGAAAACTAACAGATTGTCAACGACCTACCCCAGTGCCAAACGAACCTACAACCCAACCCAACCCAACCCAACCGAACCGAACCCCCCAACCCCATCACCTTGCGCGTCCCTCTGTCTCCTCCCCAACCCCCGCCCCCCCCGCCCAAGTGAAGAGTTCATCTACAGAGATAAGCCCTCATCGGCCACTCAATTACCCATGATACACATTAAATTAACCCTCCCTCCCTACCCCTCCCCTCATTCTTGGCAGCAGCAGCAGAACCTGCCGCAGCAGCAGCAGCAGCGGCAGCACACCCGTTAGACAGGCACTGCTACGCTATTGATCTCGAGCATCGCCGGCCGCGTGAAACACCTCCTCTCCCACAACGGGCTGGTACTCCCTCCCTGCTTGGTTGATCCCCTCTCCTCCTCTCCCTTCCTATCCCCGGGCGAGCAGGGCGCCGAAAAGCTGGACAGGATTTCGTCCAGGAACCCTTCATCTGCTCCGCCAACCGTCATGAACGACGAGATGCTTCCCCCTCCGCGGCTATGGCGGAGGCGCACCTTCTTCATCGCCGCCGTGGGCTCCGACCGAGCCTGCTCTGCTGCGCTCATCATGGCCGCAGCTGTTCGATCTACCATCGACACAGCCTTCGATAGCGATGGCATGACCTTCGTCTTCGTCTTCGTCGTCGCGTTCACAAGCGTGGTCTGGGCAGAGCAAGCGCGAGCGGGAGGGTTCTTCGCCGACAAGATCGCCATGGGAACTTCGCCCGGAGCTGCGCTTTCAGCGGCGGCAGCAATGCGCTTCCCCATCGCTTCGGCGCCGCCATGGCCGCTCCACGCCGATGGCTTCCCCGCGCCCCCGAGCGCATTCCCTCCGCCCCCTCGTTCTCCGCTTGCGTGATGCTGACACCCACCGCTGTTCAAGCGCAGGGTGTCCCTTGGAACTGCTACCTCCGGACAGGCGGTGGGTGCGAGACGCGTGCTCCCCGCACAGATCCCTGCTGCTGCGGTTGCCGCCGCGTTCCGAGGGTAATAATTACCCTTCAATGGCGGCGCCGCGGGCGCCGCGGGTGCTTGATTCCGGTTCTTGATCATCACGACACGTGGACGGCCGGGGAAAGGCAGATATCGAACGGCGGACGCGAAGGGGTTGTCGTGGGGGCACGGATCCCGGCCGCCGGCCGGACATGTACTGCAAGAGGAGGAGGAGGAGGAGGAGGTGGTGGTGGTGGAGGAGGAGGAGGAGGAGGAGGACGAGGAGAAATGGACGGAAGAGGACGAGGAGGATGACCGCCGAGGATCCGAACGCTGAGAGGAGGAAGATTGCGAAGAGGACGACGAAGAGGAGAAAAGCGCGTTACCTCTCCCTCCCGATCGACGAGCGCAAGCTCTCATAATGCTCTTGTCCAAGCACTCTGCGCACTGCACTCGTCCGTCCGTGTCCACTCTTCGTAAACAAGTGCAGCACGTCGACAACGACCGACCTGCTGCCACCTCCATCTCTCTCTCTCTCTCTCTCTCTCTCTCTCTCTCTCTCTCTCTCTCTCTCTCTCTCTCTCTCNTCTCTCTCTCTCTCTCTCTCTCTCTCTCTCTCTCTCTCTCTCACTCTCTCTCTCTCTCTCTCTCTCTCTCTCACACACACACACACACACACACACACACACACACGCGCACACACAGACGGATAAACGCACGCACGCACGCAAGCACGCTCAGACAAACGCACGCAAGCACGCTCAGACAAACGCACGCAAGCGCGCAAAGCACGCCCGGGCACACAAGCACGAAAGCAAGCAAGCACGCACGCACGCTCAGACAAACGCACGCACGCAACCGGCCTCGGTTAGCGCGCGCACACATACATACACGCACAGAGTGAGTCTTCGACGCGCAAACAACCACGCGGCTTGTTAGTACTATCTCCCACCGATATCAATCAGAGTCGATTGATTGGACGAAAAGTTGCACGCGGCAACGGTTTCGTTGCTCGGCGCGAAGTTAATAGGAAGGAGCGGTCAACGCGGCACTGCGGTAACCCAGCAGCCGAATTCCCCCTTCAGCTCTTGCCTTCGACGAGGGACACCCCTCTCTCTCTCTCTCTCTCTCTCTCTCTCCGCCCCTCTCTACTTCGCGTGCGGAGTTGGATAAAGCTGTGACAAATAAGCCAAACGGCAATCTTTGTCGGCCAACAACCTCTGAACACAGTTGACAGGGACACGAGATGACGGAGCTCTGTATGCTCTCGAACGTACGGAACACAGTCAGCCCGCTTTACCCCGTTTCCCCCCCTTCTCATCATACTACATTGCACCTTCATTTCTCTTTTTTCAAGTTTTTTGTGCTACTGGTACCCAGTTTAGCTTGGTTACATCCGCGTCGCTGCAGTCATCACACACACAGGCCATAAAATTGGCATTCGAATATGGACTCCAACTGGGACTGGTACTGGGACTCGAACTGGGACTGGGACTGGGACTGGGACTGGGACTGGGAATGGGAATTGGAATGGGCAACATGCACTGCCAGCCGCTCCCCCTCGAATCGCGGCAGTCATGATGAAAAGAATCGCCAAATCTGACAGGCAGGGCGCCGAAAAGCGCGCGTACAGGATGCCCTGAATGCGCTCGTTGTCTCTGCCGCGGATCGTCTGGATTCACCCTGCGCCCCTGAAAATCCCCCAACCCAGCTGCCGTCCAGCGGTACTCGGGGCATAGTCACTATGCATCGGATACCACACTGGACTTTCTGGGATGCATATAACCTCGTTTCCAACCCGGAGTGGATGCACCTGAAGGCAATTACGACCACATAGAAGCGGAAAATGTCCGAGTGTGATATGCCTCAAGGTCGGGACGCTTGAGAACCAGATCGCAAAATTCGATATGGCAGTCCTTCGGGACATCCGTTAAATTGGGAGGACGATACTGGAGCGTAGTCCCACTACCGGGGAAAACGCACCCTAAAAATGAACGTATACAAGCTGTATTTCCGCCCAGATAAAGCCAAAATGAGGGTGCGTTGTGTTCGGGGGAAGACGGTAGCAAAGAGGATCGGATCGAATGCCCGAATCTGGACGTGTATGTCGAGAGGTGCAGGAAATCGAGATTGAACTGCTTTTCCGCATCTCTGCATAAAACACGTCCACATTCAGGCATTCGATTGGATCCTCTTTGCTGATGGGACCTCCGCCCTGGGGAAGCGTGACACGCATGAACCTTACGAAAAAAGAATGGATATGGATATGGCCAGTTGCCGCGAACCCAAGAGCGTAGCTCAGTGGGTACACCCATGAACTGTTGAAATACAGACCTGTGTACGCCGAGGGGAACGCAGCCCTAAGGTAGCCAAATCAATGAGCCATCAATGAGACTAAGAGCTAACACGAGAGAGAGAGAGAGAGAGAGAGAGAGAGAACAAATGTTATGAGTGTGAGAGAGAGAAAGAAATAGAGAGAGAGGGAGGGGGGGGGCTACCAGAGAGAGAGAGAGAGAGAGGGGGGGCCGGGACTACTAGAGAGAGAGAGAGGGAGGCTGAATGGCAAAATTGAAATATGGGTCAAATTGCGGCCACAATCTTTTTGGCAGTTGGAATGATTTTTTTTAATTTATGTAGCATTTTTCCTGGAAAGATCACAACAAAATCTACGAGTACACAAATTTTCAAGTTTTTTCACGCATTCTTCTGAGCGCGAAAACTCACTGAATTTGGAGTACTTTTTTAGTTGGCCCAAGCATGGCCGAGTGGCAAAAATGGAAAATGTGCTGAATCGGCGCGATGATTATTTCTCAGTCTAACGGCCACACTGCCTATAGTATAATCTCTACTGCGGTTACTGCGTGAAAGCACGTGATGTCGAATACAAGACCCGAACACACAACCAACGGCTTGGCAGGCTAACACCTAACCATAAGGCTAAGTGGGCTGGGGTGAAAGTGAAGCCCCAAGATGAGCACTTCACCCCACCCCAGCACGGAGATCCCGCGACACGATGTACCCAACCACACTCATCCTACACAGCCACACTGCCCGTAGTATAATCTTCACGGCGGTTACTGCGTGAAAGCATGTGATGTTGAATACAAGACTCGAACACACAACCAACGGCTTGGTAGGCTAACACCTAACCATAAGCACGTGATGTCCAATATCTCAAGGTTGTC